AGAGCCCAAGATAATACAATAATTCAAATGTGGCCTAAACAGTGACCTATACAATGAAATTATAACTTCTTTAGACTTGTATTCAATATTTCCGTAGATACAACCTTAAATCCTATTTGCCTTACCACTAACAACAGCACACTGCTTGAATGGTTTAAGAGACTGATCAACTATTACACCAGGATCCCTTTCTTTATTGACACTGTTAAAGTAATTCCCATCCAAATTATACTTATAATGCAAATTATGACAACTCACATGCATTATCTTGCATTTATTATAATTAAGATCCAGTTGCCATTTAATTGCCCAACTCACTAAATGATGTACATCCTTTTGTAAATTAGCAGCATCCTCTTCACAGCTAGCAACATCAAAGACCTTAATATTATCTGCAAATTTAAGTAACTTAATGACGATTCCTTCATTTATGTCATTGGTGTAAATCAAAATGAGCAAAGGTCCTAAAACTGAGCCCTGAGGTATCCCACTTGTAACATTAATCCAGTTTGACTGAACTCTATTTGTAACAACCCTCTGCTTTTGTCCATCCAGTCACTCATCTATCCAATTTCCTAACTTATCTTCCACACCTATAGAGATAATTATTTTACAAGCCTTTTATGTGGCACCTTTTCAAATACTTTCTGAAAATCTAGGTACACCAAATGTATACTTACCCTCATCTACATAAGCATTAACCTTTTCAAAGAATATCAAAAGATTAGTAAGGCAGGATTTTCCCTTAGTGAAACAGTGTTGTCTGTTCAATAAAATTCTAAACTTTGTTAAATGACTTTGTAAAGTATCTTTTAACAGACTTTCCAAAACTTTTCCCACAACTGATGTAAGACAAATAGGCCTATAATCACTGGGACAATTTTTATCCCCTCCCTTGAAAAGAGGTGTGACATTAGCTAACTCCCAATCCTTTGGTACCTGCTACTATTCAAGGACTTACAAAAATAGTAGCAAGTGGCTCACATATCCAATCCTTATCCTCCTTTAAAACCCTTGGGAAATATTATCTGACCTAGGAGCCTTATCGTTCTTTAAACTTCCCAATTTTTTCTTGACTAGCTAAGAATTAATGTAGTCATCTTGTTTCCATCTACCAACTGTTCAAAATGTGGAATACTGCTTAAATCTTCATTGATAAAACTGAAGAAAAAGCAAAATTTAATAAACCAGCCATCTCATAATAATCAGATACAAGCCTTCCTTTATCATCCCTCAAGAGTCCTACCCTCGTCCTAACATTTTGTTTACCCTTAATGTATTTAAAGAAATCCTTACTGTTAATTTTCACATTTTCAACTAACCTTTTCTCATACATACTTTTTGATGTCCTAATTTCCTGTTTGACCAACTTTCTTGATCTTCTAAATCTCCTGTCGTAACAGTCAATCTAAATTTATTAAATTTGTGATGTGCTTTTCTTTAATTTTATCTCTTATACTCTTTGTAAGCCAACCTGTTTTTTTTACTTGCAGCTACTCTTTTCTTTCTACAAGCCACATGTTTACCTTAAATATTTAAAAATTTATCTTTAACAATTTTCCACATCTAATCAGTGTCTCCAATTAACTCAGCTTGTTGCATCCCTCCAAAATTTGCTGTTTTTAAATTTGTAACCAAAATATCCTTATTCCTTATCTTCATATGCAATAAAACATTGAACCTAATAGAGCAATGATCACTTGCACCTAGATGTTCCCCAATTTCCACCTTCTCCATCATTTCTGTATTTGAAGTTAAAAATAAATCTAGAATGATATTGTTTCTAGTAGGTCCCTTGACTAATTGGTGAAGAAAGCCATCTTTAACAGTTTCCAAAAACGTTTCTCCCTCACAATTTGACTCTAAAAGCCTTTTCCCTTTATATTCACTAATAGAAACCCAAATGGATTCAATCTCCTTGCTATTATGTTTGACATCCTAAACTTCAACAGAATGTAACTCACATTTTACATATAAAGCCACTCCAGACCTCTCTCTTTCGTACTCTATTCCTATTGAATAGCCTATAACCCTGTATTTCAAAGAAATTTCTGTCATCAAAATCATCTACACTTGTATGTGTTTCAGTTATTCCCATTATATTAAAATCCTCCATTCCTACCAGTGCTTTCAAATTCATCTATTTTATTTCTTACACTTTTGGCATTACAATTAAGCCTACCCTTATAACTACTTCTATGCTCATTTCCTACGCTAAAATTTTCTCCGCCTCTTATGCTTTTTACATTTAGTTTATCCTGGCCCTCATCACTGTCTAGTCCTAGTTTTAAATTTTCCTTACAGCTGAATTAATAGCCCTAGCAAACAAGCCAGCCACTATCTTATTTAAATGCAAACCATCCATTTCAAAAAGCTCCCTTCTTCCATTGAACTGATCCCACAGGTCCAGCCAGCCAATCTGCTCATCCTTACATACTAACCTAAGCTTAGCGTTTACTATTATTGACCTACTTATAACTTCATCCCCACAGTTAATTCTGGACAGTATCTCTGACAATATTAAGTTATGGCATTTTTCTTTCAATGTCTATATCAACCGCTTGTACTTATCAATTAACTCCTCTGACCTACCTTTCTCTACATCATTAGCCCCTAGGTGCACAACAAAATCTGCATCTCTGCTATTCCTCTTTATTATATCTTCTGCTCTGTCAATTATATCTTCCACCTGTGCTCCTGGGTAGCATAATCTAATTCTTTTCTCCCCATTTACCCCAAACTCTCCTACCCACATGCCTTATCAAGGAATTATCTATAACTATAACCTCCTTAAGTTCATCATCCATATTCTTCTCTGTCTTTCTTGTTTTCCTTCCCTCCAATAGTTCCTCATCTGCACAACCAAAGGGCTGAAATCTGCTGTTCAATAAGTAGGCTCATTACAATTAAATCCACTACTTTTAGGCCTAATAGTACTCTTTCTAATTTCATAAAAGTCATTGTTAGCTGATGTATTCCTTGCATGTAAAAGTTTAGCTCCTTTTCAAATCCTGCTGCTGTTTCCTACAGTCTACACTTTTCTTTATCTATCACCTCTATAGAATTATGATAGGCTCCAACTTCTCCAACCAACCAACAAACTCTACATTCAAATTGCACATCTTCACTACTGATACTAGCTTCATTTAAGTACATGCCAATGCCGAGTTCCCAAATAAAAGTCACTCATTGCACCTATTACATCTAACAATTTGCAAACACTTAATTCCTACACTAGTCTTAACTATTGTATTTATACTTATAGCCTGGAAGTAAATATTCAATAACAAATACCAGTAGCATATTGTTAAAACTGTTATTGTTAAGCCTAACATTTAAGAACCAATTATATTATTTTTTATCACTATTTTGTCTTTACACTAAAGTAATTAAGTTTATCTTTAAATATATAGAACTAAGAAATAGCACTTTTATTACAAGTGGCAATAACTAGTCTTCACTTGGATGAATAAGTAATGTTAATAATACAATGTATTTAGCTTGATTTATATTATAACCTACTTATAACTAAAAGCTGAATTTAAACTAATGGATCTAAGTTTAAGTAGGCAAATTAAATCTTAAAACACAAGGAGACAATAAACTAATAAACTCATAGCTAAGCCTAAAATATCATTACACTTAGAAGCCTAATTTAACGTTGTAGTTCAATTTACACCACTAAACCCTAAGTTAAAACTTTGACTGTCTTACATTTACTTACCAATCTTACTAAATCTAGTTATTCTTTGGTTATTTAACCCAAATTACTACAAATGATAATATTAAATAATTCTCAAAAATCTATAAGAGCTTAATTTTTCAACAGCTTCTCTCTTCCATAGCACCCTCTATTTTTATGAAATGTAAAACAGGTGCATTTCTGTACCATACGTTATAGACATATTATTCCTCTTTATCTTTCTGAAAAGTCATTAGCATGTATAAGTATATTCATTAGAAACAGTAGAAATGTTTTAAACCAGAATCTGTGAAGCAAGCCAAAAATGAACTTTCAATACAATATCAGTGTGGTCATTAAATTTCCTTTTGATCTATAAAAGTATTGTAGAGGTAATATTTAATATTAAAGCACTAAAAAGTATTATTCAAATAATTCATTCTATATTACATACTACAGATGACACATCTAATTACACACACACAAATACCTACAAACAAGTATTTATGTCTAAATTAATTAAAAAAAAATTCAAGACTGGTTTCTCCTTTTATAAGAATTGCCTATTTCAGTTCACTAAAAGATCATTATAAAAAGGGATTCACTGTATTTAAAAATGAATCTCGAATTACTGGAAGAAGAATATAAAGTAGTGGTAAAAAACTTGCCAAATGAAAATAACTTTATTAATAAAACAAGAAAACGACATTTCAGGCAACAGCCCTTCATAAGGCCTTGATTAGGCCTCTATGTCATGTTTTCTTCATTGAAATTTGCATATTGGCAGGGAAAAGAAATTTGTAAATAAATATAAACTCTTGATAACATTTGGATTAAAGTTTAATGTAGCCAAAAAATAAGTCACTGGTTTAAGTTCATCTTCAAAATTTGAAGATACTCTAAAATCTATAACAATGGATTTACAAGAATGAATTAAAACTTTCAAGTAGCAATTTTTCACAAATTGATTTAAATTTAACCTAATAGTTTTAGGCCAGACTTACTTTCAGACTAATATAAAGCATGTTTAAAATTCTGCAGTGCAAGTCACTGGTCTACTATACTGATTTTAAAGACTCAGAAATCTATGGATATAGTTTATCACATTGATTCATGCTCATTCACTTTTTTACTTCAATATTCAATCTGTGCCAAAAAGAGCATCCTTTTCTCTTCACAACACTGATATGCGTTATATCGGAATAAATTTGAATGCCAACGTAAAATTTATCATAATCATAAACAAGAGTTCATGAACATGCTTTTGGATATTAGAAGTTCTCCACTTTTTAAAGAAATATAATAAACTTTTTTTCACCTTTTCAGCAAGCTCTAATTGTGCTTGAACTTCTAGCAGTCTATATTTTGTTGTGGATAAATCATTCTCCAAAGCCTGTTGATTTTCGTCTTTTTGTTTTAAGCTCTATTGAGAATAAAGATACAAGTAACATTTCTTCATGATATAAATGAAAATATGTTTAACCTTTCAATAGCAGAACTAAATTACCCTAATAAAAGTCATACCTTTTTAAGACAACAATTTAAGTAAACAATTTGTTTTACACAAATATATTATTGCAACAATATATATGTTTTTTATGTTACAAGAAAGCAAATATTGTAAAAAAAAAGGTTAAATTTGGTGTGATAAAAGGCACATGGTAGTACAAAACTGAGAAAAATAGGCCAAAGAAAATAGGCAATTTAGCTGAATTTTTTAAAATTACATACCTCTAAAGGCATTTTAGTACTACGTCAAATTCAACAAGTCCCTCAGGAGCCAAGGGGTGTCTTCACACTACAATTTCTTGGATATTACAAGTAAGTTCAATCCAGAAACTCCCAAATAGGATGGTTTTGGACATATATTTTCAATACAAGTTTTCGCTTGTTAATTGATAAATTTTCAAATGAAATACAGCACCCTCAAGTCTCCGTACTAGCTATTACTAAGATCTACCCACTGGGAGTAAATTCAGTATATATCAGTAAAGCCACATTCTCAATTGCCACCTTTATGCTTCTGCTACCACCTTTTTATGTTTAGCTTTCAATTGAGATAGGAGCAATTTCACTTATTTTGGTAGGGAAGGTCGAACCATCACGATAGTCAGCAGTTGGATGAGCAGACTTTAAAAGCAACTACAGGCATAATATTGTACTTGGCTTGCTGCAAAATATCTGCCAAGGTGATTCTAAACTGTTCCTGAATATCTCTGTGTGTCATCTGGAGACTTCCATGCTTCTTGTGCTTGGCTGTTAAGCTCATAATGCACTGATGGGTTTCAGTTATCTTACCACCTCAAATCACTTTTCACAGCCCCAAAGCTGAGTGTGTGTGTGGGAAATGCCTTCTTTTTAGCCAATAAAAATGTCCATAAAATTTCAGTTCAAAATTAAGAAAAACTGTATTGGGTAGTTTGTTTTTTTCAACAAAAATGTCCCCCACTGGCTCATGAGAGGCCTGGTAATTTGATTGTAGAATTTTCTTATTCCTTATAAGATCTTAAAGTTATATGAAATATTTATTTTGTAGGATAACGAAATGTGCTGCTTAATTTTAAATTTGGTAGTGCTTCAGATTATAGAAACAAAATAATCATATTTATATAGACATAAACTCTGTGTAATAGTCAATTTCTATAATTTACAATATTACTGGTAATTAATATTTTATCAAAAGAAACTCTGTAAAACACATGGATGTAAATTTAAGAAACAGTATTGTCAGACTGGAAGTTTTAAAGGTGATTTATAAAGAATAAAAGCACTGTTTGAATAGGTAGTGATTTATATATAAATTAAACTCTTACATATTTCATTTCATCCTGCAGAAACACAAAAGTAATAACTAAAAATAAATTGTTTTTCATCTTTTTTTTTCCTTTATTATTTTCGTAACACAGTTCATTAACTCTCTCAACACAGCTCAGTCAATTTTTACTCGATTAAAGTCTTTATAGTAATATTTCAATGAGGTAGGGTGTGTCTTTAGTCTGCTTGAAATTTCATATTTTTTAAAGTAAATTACATCTTAGTTACTAAGCTTGATAATTTATAGTGAAATTCTATGGTATTAATGTAATAATTTATTATTTTTTAGTTATTCAAATGTATATATAAAACCTAAAAAATATATTTTGTTGCATATCTTCCACGTGCACATTTTTTAAAGGCTTAGCAACCTACATCAAGCAGCAACCAAGTACAAAGGTC